CGCGCCGTTATTATTTATTCTCTTAGAAGTCTAAGAATAAGTTAAATAGCTAATAAAGTATTAATAGGCCGCTTATAGTAAATAATAATCTAATTTTATATTTTAGTACCTATATTTATTTTTATTTTAGGAACCTAATTTCCCTATCCTTTTATACTCCTTTTTTTATACTAAACCGCGCCCTTCTTATACTTACTTTTAAGGTTCCCGCTATCTAAGGCTATAAGTATTATAGTAAGGACCTAGTATTTCGCTAGTATTTCTCTAACTAAATCTACCGCTAACTACTACGCTTAAGCTTTAAGGGATTCCGCTAAGTAGTCTAATTATATAGAAATAAAGTAGAGCTCCTCTATAACCTTAAGTCTAATATAGCTATATTTACTAAGTAGAAATAGGATAATTATAGTATATATACTAACTACCGCGACCTCCTTATTAAAGAAGGGTATAATCTTAACGCGGGCTTAGTAGAAAATAGTATATACTACGCCCCTTTATCTCTTCCCTTATCTAAAGCCCGCGACCTATATAAATATAACTAGCTATACTTCTTTATACCTATAAGAATATACCCTTATATTCCTATTTTACTGTTATAAAGAAATAATAGGCATAGGGAGGCTTTATAGAATAAGCTAGTAAAAAGAGGCTCTATAATATAGTCTAAGGGAATAACCCTTAAAAGACAAAGACCTCTACTAGACATCTATACCTTCCTCTAGGAAAAGCGGGTCAGGATAAGCCTATCCTTACAAACAAAAATATGCATTTTATGCATGAGTTAATTACAAGCAGAACGGATACCCTATTGCCTATTTTGGCCTAGCGGTTCCGAAGATATCCGCGATACGAGAATAGGTAGGGCATAGAACATTCTAGTTAAATCCACTACTTATGCTAGAACCTATAGTGTTACGTTAACTATCACGCTACAATTAGACCACCTACTAAGTTAGGAAGATATACTATAGATAGAGCTTTTCAAGCACTATAGAATATGCTAGAAAGCTGACTAATTAGTCTACTAGTAGGCGAGCAATAATCTATAAAAGACAAAGGATTTCCCTAGGAGTAGTAGATAGAATAAGTAAGTTCGCAAGCATCTTTTATAACGCTATTCTTTTAATATATTATTCGGCCCCTTATATACTTATTATAAATTCCGGACAAAATCCTACCCTATACTCCTTCGACCGATCATTCCGCTTACGTTATCGATTACCCGATTCTACGCTTATTGCTTATACCTTCTTATAATACCTTATAGCGCCGCCGCTTATTATAGTACTACTATAACTCCCGTAACTATTTAAACTAGTAGGAATATAACGTTAACTATCTAACTATAGTAGGTTAGCGCTTCTTATTACCTTAATCCTAGTACTCCTTTATACGTTTACTTTAATAACTATACCTTATTACTATTAAGCTCTAAGGATTTATTTAATAACTCGCTACCCTTAATATTAAGTATTATAAGGAAAAACCTTAGTACCCCTTATAATGCCTATAAGTAGTTTACCCTATCGTTTAATAAGGATAAGCTTCTCCTACCTTTACTATATAACCTAGATAGGGCTATCTTCCCCGATAAAACTAAGATAATAACTAGCGCCCTTAAAACTATATAGATCGCTACTATCTTAGCCGACTATCTATAGACGCCGAGATACTTAAGATTATCGCTACCGTTACTAGCGTAAAGTGCCTCCTTACCTATTTAAAGATATTTAAGGCCGCCGCCGCGGAGGAGTATAAGGCTACTAGTACGCCGGGAACCTATAAGTTTAAAGAGAGCCTTAAGCGCACCCTAGCTAAGACTAAAGGATTTAGTATAATAGACCTTACCTTTAACGAGCTATTAAGGAACCTATTTACTAGGCGCCTACTTACTACTACCGCGGCCCTACCCTTTACTCCCTCTAAGCGGGCTAACCTATTCGCCGAGGAATAGGCCCTAATACTAGTCTAATAAAAGCTTAACCCCTTCTAGGTTCTAAGCTATAGAAAACCTAGACTATTCCCTATCGTACCTTTTATAGTATACTATAATAACCTAGCTAATATAAATAGCTATATAGGTATCGTTTACTCTAAGTTAAAAGCGCTAGTCTATAAAGCCTTAAACGCGGCCGTAATCTAAGTAAATCTATTCGCTACTATCTATAAGGAGGCCGACGCTAACCTCTCGCTCGGCTAGTACGCCGCCCTTACCGGAGTGCCCGCTAGCTTTATCTATTAGTTCGCCTTCGCTGCCTACCTCCTAGATAAGTCGCCTAAGCTCGCCGCGGTATACTAAAGAGCCGCCCGCGTTAGCCCCCTACGTATACTAGTAGCGGCCCGCCCTTATATAGCTAACGTAATAGCTTATTTTAACTTATTAGACTAAAGGTTTACCGACGCGTACTTAGGTAGGTTCTAGAACCTAGGCCTAACTATATAGGTACTAGTAGTAGTAATCTATAACTAAATTCTAGCCTCTTATAATAAACTAGCTATAATACTCTTAGTAGAACCGGCCCTAAATAACGCCTATAGTATACTTATTTATAGAGCCTTTAATATATAGGATGCCCCGGACGATATACTAGTAGGCCTTAAGGAACTAATAGAGGAGGAAGCTAAGGAGGAGATTCCCTATCCTACCTTAGCCCCTATAGTATAAGACGGTTAGTTACTAGTTTAGCCTTATTATATCTCTAGTCTTTTTTTTTTACTAGCTTAGCTATAAAGCGCCCTTAGTTATAATTAGTTTTCCCTAGCTTAGCTATACTACGCCCCTAGCTTTACTTATTTATTACCTTAGTTTAGCTACTTAGTGCCCTTAGTTTTAATAGTATTTTACTCTTAGCTTAGCCGCCTTACGCCCTTAGTATTAGTTATACTAAGTTACGTTTTAGATAAGATATAAGTTATCCCTTATACTAACCTTAGAAATCTATATAACTTTACTATAATTCCCTATTAGCGCGACTCCTACCTAAATACCGCGGGAGACTAATAAGAATATTAGTTAATTCTTTTACCCTAGGTATTTACTATAAGACAGCCTATAGTTAATAATCTAGGTACCTATAATAATATCTACTTTACCTAGGGAAGTTAACTTTAACTCCCTAAGGCTCCCTATAAAAGAAGGAACCTAGAAGCTACTAAGTAAACTCTAAGAAATTACCTAGAAATCCTAGAAATAATAACTAAGTAAATTATATAGATATTTTATAAAGATTTCTCTTAAAGATATATTATATAGGGAATAAACTATAATTTCCTAAGTAATAATAGCTCCTTAAGGATTATACTAAGATTTCCCTAAGAAGTTACTATAAGACTATAGCGGGGAAATTATAGAGAAATACCTATGCTTATTTAAGGAAAATACTAGGAAATACTACTAATACGCTATACTACCGTCGTATAATTATAAGGTTAAGATATTACTTAGTTAAAGCCCTAAGTAATATCTTACGCTCGCTATAGTATATATAAAAGATAGAGAACCCGCTAGATCTTAGGCGGGTAGAGAAGAATATAGATAGTTATTACTACTCTTACTTTAACTTATAAGACTAGTAGCTAGTCTATATTTAACGCGTATAATAACGTACGGTAGCTAGTCCGTATAATACGTTTAATTACGTATAGTAGCTACTCCGTTTAGTTACCTATTAGACCTATACCGGATCTAGGCAAACGGCTAGGTTAAAGTACCGGCCCTATACCGAGGGACTAGTACGTAATATATAATACTTCCTATCTATCTAAGAGGGGGCGGAGTACTCCTTTAAGGAAGCGGTACCCTCTTTAAAGAGATATCTATTAAATCTATTAGTTAATAGCTTATACTATTATAGAGTAAGTAGAAGCGTATATATAGGTGCCGTTTATAGGATAATATTAATAAGCTATATAGAGCTCTTTTATACGCGGCTAGCTTAAATATATATGCCTTTACTTACTTTATAATAATAACCTATACTTTAAAGCCTATAAGTATAAGCTTAGTTTTAAAAGTAACTATTTACTTTAACTTACTTATATAGCGGAATATATACTTATTTATAGCTAAATAAGTACCTAGCTAATAAAGAGTAAGAAACGCTTACTATATTTATTTAGCTAACTTATTAACCTATATATAAGGCGTAGGGAGCCTATAAAAGATATTAGCTAAGTTTAGGTTACTAATTTAAATATACTATTAAAGACGATAATATTAGTTAAATAATATAAATTAAAGAATAAGGTATATTAAGTATATTAAGTCCGCTAAAGAGGCCTTTTAATACTCTTAAACTCTTATTTCCTTATATTACCTTATATAAATAAGAGTTATAATCTATAGAAAGATCTCTCTAAGAGATATCTTTAACTAGCTATTCTCTTATAAATACTATTACTTTAGACCCTCTAGGCCTAGCCTAGGACTATTATTTATATACCTAACCTACTCTTTAACTAGGGATTTAAGTCGAAATTGCTAGAAAAGTAATAACGGCGTTAGTAGCAGCTATTAAACTTATAGCTCGCGCTCGGGAACGTAAAAAGGGATGAATTCGGGGCCCCGTTTAAGCTTAGGGTTAAATAGGGGGCAGACAATACTATCGATAGGCTACTCACGCTAATAGTAGTCTAGCCGTATATGGAGGGTATATTCGAAGCTATTTATAGCTAGAATAGCTGCTTACGAAGTTTATAGATCTTATTACGAAGTTATTAAGCTTAATTTAAATGCGTTACTAGGAAAATTAGCTGTCGAAGGTTTTGCTAATACTGCTAGCCCCTAAATGCGTATCTTATATATAGCTACGTATTGTGGGGCTCGTGACATGGGTGCGGTCCCTCGGCACTCAAAGGGATGACTCGCTATTTTGTCCTTCTCCTAGGATGAGCTCCGGCTGCCACCCGAGGCCCTTGACGGGGCAGCGAGCATTTTCCGAAGCACGAGCAACGGCGTTATTAAGCCGGTTAAGCAGTCGCTAACTATTACGGTAAATATGAGCATCGTTGACTTGTGGAAACTGGCATCCGATGTCGTTACGCCCGTGACGTAGAACCTGGGGCCGGAGAGCATGAGGGATAGCCGCGGAGACTTCATTTTTGTCCAGTCGGACCTGTTCACTAGCCTCTTCTCCGTCTTCGATAAAGCCGGTTATAGGGTCAGCAGCGGGCCAGACACGGGGCAATACCAGTATCTGTCTTACATCCGCAAGATTAACGGCTCCGGTATGGCGCTCGCAGGCGTCGAAGACACTGCCGTCTTTAGCATCGTCGTCGCTAACCGGTTAGGCCCGTTGGATAACGTTACACCGATAACCTTGTGCGCTTATCTAGTATCTATCGAGGGCGTCGAGGCCATAGGTAAGTTCCCGGACGCGAGCAAGGGCCAACGTTACGTCGCGCTCTGCTCGCTGCATAGCTAGAACTACACCGTCTTGCCGCCTAATACGCTCAACGTTCTAGACGCCTTTGAGCAACTGGGCCGCACTCTGAACGTGCTACGAGCCCCAGAGGCCATTGTCGCCCCTTTGCTGACGTCGGGCGACAAGATGAAGCAGCTCGTTGCCCGCCGCCTCGACGATGGCTACATAATCGTTAAGTATCGCACGTAGACTGGCGAAGCTACTATTGCGCTCTACCGAGGCCCCTTTATACCTACGTATGTGCCGCCGCTTGAGAACCTGACGAGCTGCTCTAACTCGAGCGTCGACCTGTAGATCCTAGATAGGTAACTGGGCATAATGGACGTGACGTACTTGGTCGCGTGGCAGGTCGGTCGCACTATGGCCCTGGGCGACGAAGCCTTTACCGCCGCGCTGGGCCGCCTGAGGAGCGCCATACACCGGCCCGCCTCCGACTCGGCCAAGCTGCAGACACTTATGGACATTGATGATATGGCCTTTCGCACCAGGGGAGAGCTGCTCGGCGACCTCAGCGGCATAGTCAATAATCTCGCGAACATTCACCTTGATAACCGTGGTCGCGGTCCTCCACCAGGGCCAGGCGAACCCCGTTTTACCCCTAGAGGCCAAGAGGCGATGGTTCCGCTTGAAACTTGGCCGCGATGAGCTGCCAAACTTGTCTTTTGATTCGCCGGGAATCTAGGAAAAGTACCCAGACGCCGCTCTTAAGGCTGTTCGCTCGCTTACTCAGAGCACGTCTGGTGATGTGTACGACGAAACAAACGACCCGCAGTCTATAGACTGGATGATTATCTTATCCTAGCTCGTCGATCGTATGTTTCCCGCTGGCGTTCCAGCGCACTGCCTTATTGCGGACCCGACATATCTAGAGCCCGAGACCCTGCGCTTCTTCCGCATCGACCACAACTAGGTGGACGCCCTCCTCGACGTGGTACTATCTCTGGGCAACCACTTTGGCACTGACGAGGACCGCGTAGCCATTAAGAAGGCATTCAATGACTACATCAACTATACGCTCGAGGGACAGAATCACCGCGTCTAGGTCCCTGCCTACGGCTTCTACCTACGCTCCGATCTCGTCACCATATTTCCGGACCTACGAGTCGAGGTTTTGGCCGATGACTCCGCCCTTCGTAGCGCCGGTGAGGATCCTCCGGCCGGTGCTCCGTTGCTGCGCCACGACATTGTGACCGACGGCGTCATGATGGCCTTTATGGATCGTGTGCCTGGGTCTTCCCAATTTGCTAGTCTCGTCTTGACACAGCCGTCTCACCAACAGCGTTTTGCCGTCGCTCGGGGACTCGACACCACGGAGGTCAAGGTCGACATCCGGCGGCACTATACAGTCGACCAGACAACCCGGGAGAAGGACAAGGACAGGCACGACGCCCTCGAGCAAGTCATTTACCATCCCAAGGGCGACGGATCGTCGGACAACATCTTCATATGGGACTCCCAGCCCGGCGAGGGACTCAACGACCTACGCATGCTGCGGCTGCCTCGCTTTGCCGACGTCCAGCTCAAGGTGTTGCAAGACAAAATGGGAAGCTATGATGACGGCGTGCCGTACTTTGACGGCGATGCTACCACGTCGGCACTATGTGGCATGCAGCTCAACGATCCCATATATAACCTCACCATCGATCTCCAGGCCCATGCACCAACCTCGAGCAGCCTCACTAGCCTGGGGCGACCTGGTGGTGGTGTAAGCAGCACCCCTGAAATCAGGACACTGAGGCTGTTGCGCACAGCTCGTGTCAAGAGACATCGCCGCTGCTGAACGTGAGGGCGATGGTCGCACTCCTTCCGCCCCAGCCCAAGGCAAGACGGACGACGAGGATGTTGAGAAGGCAACATTCCAGCGTCATGAAAACTACAGTCCAACCCAGACAGCCATTTCAAGCCATCTTACTCCTCACGTGCGCGCACTTCCAGCCTGCACCGAAGCCGCCCTCGACACTCCCGAAGTTATCGTTTCCAGAGGCACGACAAGCGCAAGCGTCCAGGACGATTCCGACCTCCAGCCTCAGGGGTCGGAGCCGGCCTCGTCTCCCAGGTACCTCGTGCGTGTTGGCAGCAACGAAATCGGCAGTGGGGACCATATCACGCTGAAAATATCAAATATAGCCCAGGACCTCATCTTCTCGGTCGTCTTGAGGCAGAGCGAGGTCAATCAGTACTTGCTGATGGAGGTAGCCATACAGATCGAGCTGGGTAACAGCGCCTACGGCCCACGCCCCTTTCTGATGCGAAACTACGCGGGCCCCGAAACGCACATGCTGATCAACCTGCGCTTCAACGTCCTGCCTACAAATGTTGTCGACGGCAACGGCCGGAACCTGCTCCGCCTGCGGTTTCTTCCACGTGCCGCAAAGGGCTGGGTCAACGTGACCGCAGTCCGGGAGTTGAGCTTCCTGCTTGGACTGGCAAGCATCAACGAGCCCAGTAAGCGCGATCAAGAGTTTCGAGTCCAGTCATGGGCGGACCATTGCCGGAATCCCGACCAGCCCATGGGGACGGTAAACACTCGCAGAATCACTTAAATCCAGACACGTTTGTTAAAGTGGTGAACCCAAAGTATCCATGACTTGTCAGCCAGGGCGTACTGTCTCTGTCAAAACCTAGGGGCTGGAGACATCGGCCATTGTTAGTGGTTTTATAGCTCGTTCTATCAAATGTTCAATGTTGGTCGCATTCAATAAGCCACATAGCTCTATGTAGCAAATTTTATTGCCAGCTCATGTACACATACGAAATGGCCATACTCAAAGCCTCTGGTAACAACAACAACAACGCATCAGAGCTACTTCCCTAACATACGCTCCCTATTCAATAGGGCGTGAATCGTCTATAATATTATAAGTGGTAAACGTGTTTTTCCCGTGTCAGAACTCAACTGCCTCTACCTCTCCGCCTAGATGAAGATACTTCATCCTGATCTTCGATGCTGTGCATATGCACACGGCCATGTTTCGTCGCGTCCACACTCTCAATGCTTTCTATACGAGACGGTAACTCCTTCCTTGCATCTGATTCCCGTCGCGTTTCACATCTCGCGCGCACTCGTGCCACTGGTATAAACCAATAGGCGCTGCAGGCTGTTCCGAGAACCTCGGCCAGCTCTGTGCAACCTTGGCCATGCATCTGGCAGGTTTGGGTGAGAAGACTACAGGACGCCATACAGAAGCTGGATGGTAACATGTCGTACAGCGTTCTACACGGCGCACAAGCTCCAATCCCTCAACGTGTATTGAACCCGGCTTTCGACCAGGTCGGGCTGCATTATCAGTGCTGCGGCAAGACGGCAATGCAGCAGCAGCAGATATACCGTCATGAAATTGACGTGGTTGATAACAGTGCCAAGCAGCCCCCGGCCACAGCATGTTGGACAATGCGTGTGTTCCCTCTGACAGTCCCACGACTTGGAGGGGACCGATAACCTCTCCGTGGACATGACACAAACAGCCTATGGGAGCGAGTGTAACTCCAGCTTGGTTTGACGTTGCGTCACCATTGCGCTTAATGCGACTACATGTACAGCTGCCTCGTGTGAAGAGCGATCTGCATCTGCACCTTGCGCATGTTTGTTACAGCAGCTCCCCGCCGCTCTACCCCAGTACTCGCCAATCTTCACCCTTCATCGAACCAGGAGCCGCCTAGGAAACCGGCTCCAGCAACGCTGTCTCCACCCGCCCCCTTCCCCCAGGCTTCTTCATCCGGCCAGGATGCTATCGAGTCTGCGGGCTTGACGTACTGGAACACGTCACCCGTCGCCATGTTCCAGAGGTAGCACCTGCCCCCGGATGCCATGAACACGTATGCGTCAGCAGCGGCATGACGGCTCTTAATCATGAGCGGATGCGGATCCGTAAGACCGACGCTCTTCGTATCCTCGGTGCCATCGCCATTGGTTCCCCAGTAGAAATCAACGTCCATGTCGACCTTATCGACGGTTCAGTCCTCAGGCGGGTCGGTAACACGGAGGGGCTGGGAGGTGTTTAGCAGCGTGGCGTCAATCAGGCGACGAGAGAGAGAAGGAAAATAGAAGAAATTCAAGACAGTTGAGTGGACATGTGACAGCTCACCATATCTGTTCGCTTTGGCAGCTGGGAGTTACGCAACAGGCTGAAAATGTTTTGGTGAGTGCCAAGTGTTGCCCGGCCGAGGCAGTGAGCTGTGGGTGGATGTGTTGTGAACAAGTCAGGGACGTGGGACGGGCTATGAGATGATGCAGTCACTGAATTTAACTACAGACGCTCAGCACGTGCTTCGACCAGACGAGGCGGGGGTTTCATTACCTTACAAGTGACACACTGATACGAAGTACAGCTGATTATACGAAATAGGATTTACGTCATTCGCTCTATCCTTAGAATTAGGGGTCGGAACAGCCCCCGGGTTCAACAACGTGGACCTTTCTTCTCTTGATTTCTGGCGGCGAACGACTCGATGCTCTGCCACTGGACATATTACGTTTCCAAGTTGCCATCATACCTACCAAAGTCTCCTTGGCCCTACCAAACCGGAGCATTCCAACGTTGAAGACACACATCGAAATGCCGCAGCCAGCTGTTGTCCTTCTCCCTGTATTCGGCTCCAAACCAGGCGATGAGTGGTTCCGCAATGCCTTCACCCGGGACATCAATAAAGTAGGCATCGAGGAATTGTGGAAGCTGCAAACACAATGCACCTGACATATGTCATCTTGCAATAATAAGAGCTGATCCTCCAGCAGATCTACCAACGGATGGAAGACGTCTCGAATGGAAAGACTGGCGGTCACCGAGCAAAGGACCCCAAAGTCCAGCCGTTGCTCAAGGACACTTTTGCCAAGCTCAGGCCTCTCGCGTGCGTACCTGATAAGACGCCTCGTACTACTCCAACTTTGAGTAGCGACGGCCTAGGCATGATGGGCGGCTGACAGCTATCGCGTAGCCTTCCTAACGGCGCACACTTTCGCGATCCCAGACTCAAGACCGACTCTCACTTCCAACGCCCCGTCAACCCGGGATGGGGTACCGGCAAGGAGTTGAAAAAGTCCTGGTTCCGGCTTCATGGGTGGCCCATTGTCCACCTTGGTCCTGGCGGCATAGAAAGACAGGTCCCTTGGTGGAATTCGTACGACCTGTGAGGCCTCTTCCTCAGCCTCTTGGGAGCCGCGCCTCAGGCCGCCAACAAGAACAACTGCTTTCTCCCCGAGGCCGGAGACTGGCCCTTTATGTTCCAGTGCACGTGGCATTCCGAGGGCGGCAAGACCCCGCAGAAGTGGTTCTTTCTTGGTGCCTCAACAGGTGGGGATAGGTTTATTCCCAAATTTGTCGGCGCCTGGAGGGAACACGTGCAGAACCTTCGATTCCGTATGATGTTTCGAGGCCCTGCAGATGAAGCTGTTTGAGCAGGATGCCTTCAGGAACAAGACGGCTCCTGAGCAGACGGTAGCAGGCGGTTCAAAAGTCCCGTACGGAAATTGCGCCGAAACGTATCCATTCACGGTGAAAGTTTTCAGGTATGTACTCTTGGCCGGCCACCCTCTCCGCCTCTGATGTTACTAGCGACTGACAGCATGCCAGGGACAAGACCAAAAACAGCGAGTTGTATGGTCTGGCTCTGATGAGAAGGTTCATGGAGAGTCCCGATTTGAGTGCGTATGACAAGTACGCAGATGGGGTGATGTGGAATAACCTTGCCGGACCTTGTAGGAATTGTTCTGCCCTCATCGCGGAGGCCGGGGCGTCAAGGGCCAACTTTTGAGTGTACTTGGAGCAAGACAAAGCCCCTCGGAAGTCAAAACCTGAGACTGGCATGGTAGAAACGTCAAAGGGCAATGGAAAGGCCTAGATGTCTTCTGCTGGAAGCAGCTACACATGTAGCGGGTCTGTGCACCGAGTCCCAAGGCGAGCGCGTCTACCTGTTGAGTTAACAAGTTACAAAGACAGAAGAGTGCCTACTTTTATTGTGAGTTGTATAGAACGCCGACGAACGTCTCTCAGATGTTTGTTGGTTGGTTCAATATTCGGCGTGGTTCGTGAGCTCAAACTAGTGGTTGCAATGTTTTTCCTTGCCTCGTCGACACCAGCCGGTCTTCGACGTTGACGGCCGTTCTAGGTCATTTCAGAGCTTGGTTACCACGTCTCGCACTCATGAAGGACTTGGTCGCTTTGCAAACCCTCGCGTAGTAGGAGGCTGTTATCTGCGACCCTGCCCACGGCAGAGTCTGGATAAGGGGGATATTGACTCGTTCAAGTGGCACTTATTGAGCCACAATCAGGGCAGACAATCAAGTCAGCATGAAGAGAGCCACAATTAAAAAAACTTTAAATTAAAAAGATATGAAAATAAGAGCAGCAACATGGTTCGATGGCGACTAAAGGATCCGTGGCGCAAGACAATACCCGATTTCGCCGGCTCTAAGGGGTGCCCTAAGGGGTCCCCTATAGAGACTAACGCTTGCTCCTTCTGCGAAATAGGCCTAGAAAATAGGCCTATTAAGGCGTACTACGAGAACCTAGGGCCCTCGATCGAAGTAGCTAACGTAGAGCTATTCGCGATACTAAGGGTCTTAGAGGACCTAGCTAAGAGGCCTCGGCCCTTAAAGCTTAGCCCCCTTAACCCCCTTATAGATACCTATATCTTTATAGATAGCTAAGCCGCTATAAAGAAGGTTTTAGGTTTCTCGGACCTAGCTATACGTATTAAAGGGCTCCTATCTAGCTTAGGAGCCTTTTATAATATATAGCTATACTAGTGCCCTAGCTACCTAGGAATCTTAGTAACGAGCTAGCTAACTAGCTAGCTAAAAGAGGCTTAGGGGCCCCTACCTAAGGGACCCCCTTAGTCTCTATTAGTAACTTATAAAGAAAGGTCTAGTAAGCTACTAAGGACTATTAAAAGGGACTCTAGGCTACTAAGGCAGCTAAAGGCCCTAAGGCTAAGGGCTTAGGTAAGCACTATACGTCTATTTAAAAGACCCCCCGCCTAGCCCTTAGCCTAGAAAAGGACCTTATAGGGAGGCCTAGGCCGACCCTCTCGGCTTTCTACTAGCTCCTCTTTAGGGCCGGTTTCCTATTTTCCTTCCTAAAAAGGACTAATAAGGTAGACCGAGACGACTACCGCTACGGCTAAGGAAGGCATACGGCTAGGCACCTTATCCTAAGGTGCCCGAACTATAGGAGGGAAAGAGAGGTCCTTTACCGGACCTCTAAGAGACGGAAGGGGGCCTATAGCCTACCTATTCTCTATAGCTCTAAGGAAGGAAGGGAATCCCTTCTAACCTTCTTAGCTAAAATAGAGATAGGGACAGCTAAGTAGCTCGAAAAGGAGTAACCTAGGGGCCCTAGGGCCCTTAGGGGGGGAAATCACCGCGCGGGAGGAACCAGACTGACCTTTCCTTTGTTATCGCCTTTATAGCTACCCTTTCCCTAATTGGTTGTAAGCCCCCGGGCTCTATAGCTAGCTAGGACTGCTAATAGGGGCCTAGGCCCCTACTAGCCTCGCCATGGCCCTAGAGGCTGCATGCGAGTAATGATATAAAAAAAATGCCCGATTTCGCGGCGAGCAAGGGCTCGGGCTCCTCGGAAATGTTGGCAGTGAGACTCGAGTAAGCCGAGCTAGGCAAGCCAAGCCAGGTTCATAAGGGGCTTAAGCGTGTGAGGGACGGCTTGGCTAAACACTCGGCATAAACGGCCGTCTCGCATAACAGCGTGACTAGCAGCACTTTAAGGTGGCAGTAATTCGATCATGCCTGCTTGTCAGGTTCAGCGAAGCCCTACTGTTTCAGGTCTAGGATTGTTTATAGGTCAAGGCTATCAAGGACTCTGTGGATGTCGTGGAGCCGGGCTGCTCCTCGATGAGCTCGACATTTGTTCCGGCGCATAAACTGTCATTCATCACAACTCAAGGCGTCAGGAGCAACCGGTACCAACTGAAATATTCTACAAGTGGCTCCAAGGGGCCAGAATGGACAATCTGGGAATTAATCCTGTGGGCGGCTCCTGTCGATCGTCTCGCCCCTTCCTTGACTTGATTGGCGCTGAGTGATTAATGCAAATGCAAGGAATTCGCATGAAGCCGCGTCTCCAGCAGAGCACCTTGTCACGTCGGCATTGTCCCTATGTGTAAAAATGGGGTGTTGGGCAACTAGCACAGGGCCGAGTGAGTGGGAGGCCAATTTCCTCTGTTTGTTGCGCTGAGGCGAAACGAAAGCGCGGCAAAGCGGGCACCCATACAAGATGAACACTGCCTCTCCGCTTTTGTCCAAGGCAGACTAATGCGAGGGGCCGACTGCCCGCCTATTAGGGCTGTATGTATGTATAATTATATATCCATCCTAAATCGTATCCTAGATGGAGATGAAACACTCGAGGGGTTTCGGAGGAGCGCGTCAATCAACCCGGTCCCACTTCAACCTTCATCCTGAGCGCGGGAGGTCGCTTGTGAGAAATAGATGGACCAGGGGAGAACGCCAAATCAATAACGTGAGACGCATTCATACCCTAGCGACTCCTATAGCAAAGGGAGTACATGATGTGGCAGCCAAAGCAATTATGTTCAGGAACATCATGTCAGTCCATCGTCGTCCAATGGGCGCCAAGGCGCCGAGGGAAGGGTTCCTCAGGGTATATAGAGAGACGTGGACTAAGTTTACATACAGGTATCGTTGGCCCCCGCTGTGTTGACCCAATGTTTCCTGGATTGTACAAATCGCGGCCTCCCGGTCTTCAAGTCGGCGATGAATACTCTGAACCCGAGTCTACTCCGCTTCCGTTCGTCTTCTCCCACTATGGTCTAGTTGGGCATTCCGAGTTCAGCCTCGGTTAACATGTAGCTATAAGGAAGCTCCCTCACGGCGGGTGCGAGTCAAAGACGGCCGAAGCCTACCTAAGTTGGTCGACCTTTGGGGACCCAAGCATCCATCCATCCTATGGGCAAGTCGGGTGCCAACACATGGCAGAAAATAAGCCACTCATCATGCGGAAATACCTCGTTGGCCCGAAGTGGTTGGCCCGAGGCGTCTGACTCGACTCCAGCCAGGTACAAGGAGCGTCCACGCGTGGGTTCCGTCTCCTGTCGTCTGGAGTCAGAGTCACGAAGCTCCCGCCTACCTGGCCGCAGAAGAGCTGGGATGGCCGAAACGCCGTGGCCCAACTAGACCCGTCCCTCGCCGCCAGCCACGCTCCAAGACGCGCGCGCCAGGTCGCTCTCCCGGGGGCATTGCATGAACCTGAGCTTGCTGCGGGCGAAGGGACCGTGTCTACTCCTCCTTTCCAGGGCAACCTCTTTTCAGCAAAGCTTTCCTGCAAGTCGTTATCGTCACTGTGCGTAGCGGCGAGACATTTGACGATGCCAGGAGAGGCGTCTTGGCCTTCGTCGAGCAGGCTATCAAGGAGATGACCGCGCCCGCCAACCCCGCCGCCCCGGGGTCGTCGGGCGCCGCGAAGCCGTCTAACGCTGCCGCCACCCCGTCTTCGCAGCCCGCCCGTGCCAGCCAGTCCGGCACAAAGGGCCAGCCCGGTTCAAGAGGGCAGCCCCGCGACCTCGGCCCCGAGCAGCTCCAAAAGCCCGAACTCGTGCAGGCCGCCACCTCGGGCTGCAAGTCGAACACTTGCAAAAATGCCTTGCCCTTCAACTTTGAAATGTCCGCCAACGGCTTCAGCCTATGGCTCACCTTGCCCATGACGTCCGGTCTCCTCATCATCATAAACGAGGCACCCGAGTCCAGCAGCAGCGAAGTTACCGAGAAATACACCCAGGCGTGCATCGAAGGCGCTGCAGATTTCGATCCGGCTCAGGCTCCTGAAATCTTCAGCCGAGTCTTGGCCGACCCGAAGTTGCAAAGCGCCATCTCCAAGCCCGAACAGGTCGGCAAGGCGGTCCAGCAAACTGCCGACACGGTCAACCCCCCCAAGACCGACAATGCTGTCCACGCCGCCGCTCAGCCTGTCGGCTTGGTGATGTCTCCCGCCGCTGATGGCGGTGGCTCGTGCTAAGCGAACTGGTCAATCAAGGGAATTTGGAATCTTGCTGCCGGTGGCCGATCATAGACTGAATACATGTATACGGACCGTGTGCCTCATTTTGCCCTCAAACTGCCCATCTTCATGGCTTCCAGTGACTGGCTTGCAAGTACTGTACGTGCCCCGTAGGCGGTAAACATCTGGTGGGTAGCCGACGTCTCGTCGCGGGCTTGGCCGACATGTGAAACTCGACGCCCTCCCATCCGACCCCATATTCCTCGCAATTCCCCAATCTTCACATGAGAGCACTGTCGAGAATGTGGTCCTCGACTTCCATGCCCTGCGAACACGCACTGTCTGCCATAGACCTCGGTGGTGTCGACTGCTCATGTCATGTTGCTTTGTGCAACGATTCTCCGCGCTTTCGTTCCCCTTCTCGGCTTCAGCCCACCCCCGGCTGATGAACAGCTTTAACAAGACGCGGCGCCTCAAATGATCATGCAATGCAATGTTCAGGCTTCCTGAAGGACGTGCTACCTAACCAAGACCCGTCGCGCGTCCTCGCAACCCGAGAGTAAAGGTGCATGGTTGCTCAAACGTAGCGAACCTCGCCAAATAGACCGGCTCGGACTTGCATCAGGCCAGCCAGCTCCAGAAGGAATGATTGGAAAATGATGACGTTGGTCATGACATGCGACACTGACACTTTTGTTTCCTCTGCGAAAATGCCGGCTTCGGCATCCTCTGTTGTCCCGACGGAGACTCGGGTGGTGTCGGCCGCATCACTGCCATCTGTCCCATCAGTTCTGGCCGCCTCGCCGGGCTTCGACGCAGGCCACCTGTCTAACTTGATGGGAATGGGTTTGAGCTTGTCGTCCGGCAAGCCGACGCGCTTGGCGAGAATGCTCTGGTCAATGGCAGCAAACGCCGCCGCCTGGCTGGCAGCGCTGGTCTCGCCCACGTCGTTCGCCAACCCCAGATCACTGCGAGCACTGCTGGGCGAGAAATTTCGAGGGGTCCCACTCTTGTTCGGGTCGGCGTAGTTGATCGGGAACTCCTTCGGGGGCACACGGGGAGCCCTTGGGATGCTCGATTCTGACAGCCCAGGGGTGGTTCCCGGTGTCGAGGCTCCCGAGCTGCGACCCGGTTCCTTACGGCCTCTCGGGCTCACAGACCGGCTCGGCGTCCCAAGCTCCAGCAAAAAGCGTTGTGCGAACCCTTCAAGCGCCGAGGGTCGCGATGGAGAGCTAGCCCGCGCTGCCCTGTCCGGGCTCGGACGTTCTGGAGTGCCTTGAGATGCTGGAGATTCCTTGCGGGTCGGAGGCGGGTGGTCCAGCATCGTTTCGGCAGTCTGAAATGCCTCCCGCCTCTGCTGAAGCAGTTCCTCAAACCGAGGAATCATCTCTTTAAACGACGAGACTTGATCGCATAGACGCTTGAGAAGCCTCAGCATTCGCGGGACCGATTCCTGGGACCACTGGGGCCTGCGTTTGCACTTTTCCAGCGCCTTCAGCATTTGAGCTTCGCCGACGGATAGGCCCTTGTCACTGTTCGGACCTGCAGGGGGCACCTCGAGCTCGTCAATGGACACGGACATCCCGTCACCGCGCTCTTCTTGGCCCGTCCCCGTTCCATCTCCTGCCTCTTCTCCTTCCGGGAACGAGTAAGTATTTGGGCTCCGGGCCAACCATCCTTCGATGCTCATATACCCGCATATAGCCAGATCAACCACGGTCTCGGTGACTGACAAGTTCATCTCCACAGGGTTGATGAAGAAGGTTTCCAAGAGGTCCAGTGTGGCATTGAGCAGCGGATCGTCTGCACGGAGGGAGTGTTCCCGGACGTCCCTGGGCGCGCCAGGCAAACTGTCGGGTACAGCAGGTGGTTTTTGGTTGCTCGTCGGCATCCGGGGAGCCACGAGTCTTAGGGAGCACGGGTGGCTCTCCAAGCGCGCCATGGTGTCTTTGAGAATGTTGCTGTAAGCATCGTCAAAGTCGCCATGCCCACCAATCGAGCTAGCGAGCGCAATAACGTACTCAACTTCCTGCTCGTGGGCGCCAACGGTGCGGTCAGCCGTGTTGGCGGGCAGGACCTCGGTTTTGAGCAGGGTGATTACGGCATATCGGTGATGCCTCTTGAGGATGGCTGAGACGAGCTGGAGCGTGACGTGGATCGTCTGTTGGTTGCGCGACCTCAAGCAAGCAAGAATGAGGTCGACTAGGTTGAAAAGCAGAGGAGTCACGGTCTCTGCCGACTTCTCGGCCATCATGGTGGCGAGGTCCATTGACTTTCGCTTTCGTGCGTCGCTGACGGACGACGTGGAAGCACCCTCGGGGGATGCAATAGTTTCAGGGAGGGCCAAGAGGTAATGGAGAATGAGGTTGATCATGTCGGGATGATCCAAGGATTCAAGGATACGGCGCAGGTAGGTTAAGACGGCCACAGACGAGCCCCCGTCGATATCGGAGGACTCTAGCAGCGAGGGATATCTTTCTCCAGTCAGGGACAAGGCACGGCGTCTCAGACGGGCTAAGGGGGCGACTTACAGCAGTTGTTGCAGGAAAATAGCCTGGAAATGCTCCAGAAGGGTTGACTTGACATCTACAGATCGGCAATGGTTCAATACATCCTGCCAGAACAAGAGGTGGGAGAGAAAAGTTTCGAGGTGAGACTGAAACTCGGGGGAGCAGGAGCTGACGATGTCGTAGCTGGATGCGGGATGCTCGTAATCTGAAAGGGCGAGGATGGGCGGTAGGTCGTGCGGCAGATGGTCAATGACGAGCTTGCGGCTGAGCTGGCTGTAAAGGGCTCCCAGGCCCGTCGCCATGAGGGTCGAGAGGTCGCTCTCCACGATCCACTGCTCCAGGGACGCAGAGCTCGAGGCAGCCTCGATGATGTACAGCAGTCCGGTGCGGGCGAAATCACCCACCTTCCCCTCGTGGTGGATGTAGTCCATGAGAATGTAGAAGAGGGGGAAATCGGCCCTCTGCGTGCGTCCGGCAAACTGCTCGCGGGTATCGCGGTCCCGCTCGCCGCTCTGCCGCGCCGCCTGGTGTGCCTTGAACCAAGCGGGCAGTATGTCGGGATCGAGGCGGATCTTGGTGGTGATGTTGAAGGCCAGCTCGACAACACGCGACTCTGTGTCGAGGCCGAGCGGGACGCCATTCATGCCTGTAATGCGCACCAGCAGGTTTGTCAGGCTGGCGGAAAATGTTGGGTTTTCGACAAAGGCCTCCTCTTCGCTCTCGATGAGGGTGGCAAAGAAGAGGACAGCTTCCTTGATGATCCACTCGTCGTAGGACGTGGTGGCAATCTTCCCGATGGGCACGTAGATTTGCTTGATGGCGGCATACTGGATGCAGGGATGGGGGAGAGGCCGGCGGCTCTCGTCACTGAGGATGTTTGTGAGGTCCTGGAGGCGGATCTCGAGCGTCTCGGCGGCGTCGCTGTCGCGGGAGAGGTTGGACGAGGTGCGCCACGCAGACTGGAGGCACGTAGCGAGCCATGGTCAGTGGGAGGAGGCTCTTGCGGGGGGGTTACAGAGGCGCAACCTCACCAGCAAGCTGCCGTACTCCTTCTCGAACCGGTGCAGCCGTTTGGCGGGATCCTTGGCCTGGTCCTGGCGAGAGGTGCCCGACGACAAGGGGCTCAGCAGGCGCGACCACTGTACTGGCGAGTCAGCGTCGTCTGCAAGCACGGCAAAGGCCAGCTTACAAAGTCCATGTCGGCGCGGGAGTCGCGGTCATTTCCAGGGCCGGCGCGTCGAGGAGCACAGAGGAGGGCGGGCGAGGTTGGGCGAGGTGATTAGGGAAGGCGGATGCATGAAGCAAGCTCCGACATGTGTCACGAAACTCCCTTATCGACAGCTCTCCTTGTCTTGGACTTGCCCGCCGTTGCGGGGCAGGCAGGTACTGTACATGGAATGTGCCGCTTTAGAAGCAGAAAGGAAAGGCTATTTTCCAGTGTTATGCCAGCAACATGAGCACATGGGGCACGGCTTTGGGAGAAAAGGTCCATCTCTTAAGAAGACGTTTGGGGGGTCTTTTTTTGGGCAAAACGCATTCATCGAAAAATACAACCAATAACTTGATATTCCCAACTATTTCCAAGTACTGGAGGAGCCTGCTGAAGAATATCGGCATGCTTATTAAGCCCGCCGCCACGGCACCCGCGCGGTTGGGCGCGTCGGCCTAAATAGGCTCCGGCGCGTACCGGCGATATTGCATCCTCATATTGTAGGTACAGTACGTCGCCAGAGGGACCCCTCAGCCGAGTTCGGGGCCCCGTTAGCCTCCTCCCTCTCGCCCGGCAATCATCAGTGGCCGGCGACGCCTGAAATGTTCCGCAGGCCATTCAACGTGGCGCACCCGTCGACTCACGTGCAACAGCTCCAGCCACTGACCGCCCTTGCAGAGGGATCCAGACAGTAGCGTCGTCACGGCCCACAACAACGTCTGCCTCGAGCATCTCAAACAGCACCGACAAGGCGGCCGTCGGCCTGCCATTGATACAACGAGTATTCATGACCACGCCCACGACAACGGCCCTGGCCGCTCCCCCTCACCTTCACTCACCACGCCCGAATCGCCATAGCCTGCTCGATCCCATGTCGACGTCGTCCTCCTTCGCGAACCCGACACGCCTGTACCGCGCCGTCAATAGCTCGACCTACTCGTCCTGGCCCCGCGACCTTGCCGGCACCCCAGCCAACGACCCTGCTCCTGATGAACCACACTCAGCCACCATGTCCCGCCCCGGTCCCAACGAATCCTTTACACTGTCGCGAACAGAGGCCTCCATCACCGCGCTTGCCCCCGCCGCCGACCCTGACTCTGCCAAGAAACGCCGCCGAGAACCCGACTGGAACGAATTCTATCGCAATGGCCTTCCCAAAGAAATCATAGTCATCGGAGACAGCCCAGAGCCAACGGCCAACATCGGCCGTAAGCTTGCAAACGTCGGCACTGCTGTCGCTTCTTCCTCGGCTGCTCCTCCGCCAACCAAGAGGAGGAGAAAGGATGATGCCGTTGCACCTTCTCACGTCGATTACGTGGCTTCCCATGCCACGCCTTTGCAGAGTAGCCACCCAAACGACGTCAACATCTCTAGCGAACGCACCAGTGCGACCTTGAATACGACTGCCCCTACCTCTCTTTCCTCGAACAGCCAGCGCGACGAGGCAGCCCCCTCTTTTGAGCACAGGCGGACGACTCGCCGGCGGACCGCTGCCGAGGCAAAGCGGAAGGCTCTAGACAAGGCCAGAGCTTCCTTTCTGACTTACGAGCCTCCTCCGAATCCGCCCAAAAAGGTGTCCAACGTGCACGTTCGGGTCATCCAAGACGTGAGCAGCCGCCTCCGGCACCTCCACGCTCGTTTCCAATGGCTAATGCCTCACTCCTCTTCCGCAGCACCTCCACCAAAAGGATGTTTCAAAAGTGGATGACGATGACGGCCACTACATCGTTATCCCCGATGCAAAGCTTACCGAGAAGTGTATGTCTCCAATTTCCGCCACATGGAGGTCTCTACTAACATGCCCTAGATGAGATAAATCGTCTGCTAGGCCAGGGAACGTTCGGCAAGGTCGTCGAAGCCCGCGATCGAGCGCGGAACAAGGCCGTGGCTGTCAAGATCATCCGTTCTGTCCAAAAGTACCGCGACGCCTCGAGAATTGAACTGCGGGTCCTGGCCACTCTCAAGGCCAACGATGAACGCAACAGGAATCAATGCATTCATCTGCGAGACTGTTTCGACTACCGAGGACATATTTGCATCGTTACCGACCTGCTGGGAAAAAGCGTTTTTGATTTTCTCAAGGGAAATAGCTTCGTCCCCTTTCCCAACAGCCATATACAACACTTCGCGCGACAGCTCTTCACCAGTGTGGCATGTAAGCATTCATCAGACCTAGGGACTTGCCGGCTTGCTAATGTTCTAGTCTTGCACGACCTTAATCTCATCCATACCGATCTCAAGCCCGAAAATATCCTGCTTTTGGACGACTCCTACCAGACCTTTACGTATAACAGAAAGATCCCGTCGTCGTCGACTACCGTTAGCAGGCAAGCAACTCAGCGGCGAGTGCTACTAAACAGCGAGATCCGGCTAATCGACTTTGGCTCCGCCACATTCCAAGACGAGTACCACTCATCGGTTGTGTCAACCCGTCACTACCGCGCGCCAGAGATCATTCTGGGGCTCGGCTGGTCATTTCCATGCGATATCTGGAGCATCGGGTGCATACTCGTCGAATTTTTCACGGGTGACGCGCTGTTCCAGACCCATGATAACAGGGAGCATTTGGCCATGATGGAGGCTGTGATTGGCTCCAGGATTGACACTCACCTGGTTCAAGAAGTCAACAAGCTACACGCCAGGAGCTCGGGAAGCGGGCCGAGGTAAGCCAAGCCCGATCGGCCATCAGACTGCCCTAACTGGCTTCTCCTAGATACTTCAAACGGCTGAAGCTTGATTATCCTACTTCCGAGACGACGCGCGGGTCTCGTCGCTTTGTGAATGCGATGAAGAAATTGCAGGTTCGTATGAGTTGCGGTGTCCATGTGCGATAGCGGTTAAGCTGATTTTGCAGGATATTGTCCCTCCCAACAACGCGTTTCTGAAGCATTTCCTCGACCTTCTGAAGAGGATATTCGTGTACGATTATTCACAACGCATCACCGCCAAGCAGGCTCTAAACCATCCCTGGTTCAGAGAGGTGGCTCAGTCCGATGACGGAACCGAGGCGGCCAAGATCCGGATGGAAAAAGAACGGCTCGAGCAAGCAACCGGGCGACATACACACGGCGTCCCATGAGGCACTGTCCATTCCGTCGTTGCTTCCTCCCGGCATGTCTTCCCGCAGCCCTCTTCGCGAGAGATGAGCCTTGGATGGACAACGACGTGGGGGATGGACAGTTCTGGACTCAGCCTCGCCCCATCAGCTGCATATATGTACAACCGAATGCGAGAAAGTCGAAAGGAGCATGTTCCCTCGTGATCTGAATATCGCTGTCTGGGGCCGAGCAACGCGCGCTAGTCGTTGGTGCTGAGAGCTTGCTTCTCATTGACTTGGGTTCAGCAGCAGCTTGGATCAGTCCCTACTTCCAGCTAGAGTTGGCGATGTCCTGTTCAGGTTATGCACCAGTAGTACTCTGAGGGCTTATTGACAGGACTGATTCACGCTCGCCTACTACGAATGGTGTACTCCAAGAGAGCATGAAGACGGGTTTCGAAACAGGTGATGGGAAGTATCAGGCACATCAACTGCGACGCCACAGAGCCTGAACCACGCGGCCACCAAGTTAACCCGCATTCATCAGATCCCCTGATTCAATCCGACCGTGCCCCCGGCCTCCTCAACGACCCGAGAACATCCATTGTCCAGCGAGGATCTGCGCGCCCCTCAGAGCTGGGTACGCGTCTGGAGGGTTGTCGGGCCGCCGGTCTTCCACCGCGCCCTCACTGCGGCGGACTGTTCTCTGGCGGCGGTTACGCCTGGGCACCGCGTGTGACAAGAAGGCGAGCGATGAAGTGATGAAACGAAGGGCGGGAAAACGGCACATTGAAAGACTGGATTGGCGACGGTGCCATGCTTGGGAAGGAACAGCACTTGGTAACTTGCTTGAAATGTCAGCTCGAGTTTTCCGTTTCTTCGTCGCTGCCCAAAGGTGGTTCCATTGTCACGTCTCACACGACCAGGTTGCTCTCATGGGCAACCGAGCGACCTCCCCAAGGTCCATCGCCTTCATTCTCTCAAGACGAGTCATCGCAACGCCATCTCATCCTTCGTGCATCTTATGCATGTCATCAGGCGTGTGAACATGCAGGAATCTCAAGGCCGGCGTGGCCTGCCCCCCCCCCCCCCTCCCCACTACCGGACAGTGAATTGGAAATCGAAGGCAGTGGTCTTGCATTTTACTGCTGGCGCTGGGCATGAGCGACTACGAGAGAAAGTATCAAGCCTTCAAGGCCAATCGGGGGTTGCTTTCCAAACGCATACCGTCACGGAGCAATCTCGTCAAATTCAGAAACGCTGCTTTTCGTTCCTCTGCTAAGTCGCTATGGGAAGCTTGCTCTCCAATCCCAATGCAAGCGTATCGATTCGTCAAGCCGGGCTCGTCGAATCACCCACGCTCCCACCCCCGCTGCTACCGCTGCTTCCGCTCGCGCCGTTCCTACGGCCAAAAGCAGGCCGAGGGCGGTGGCGTACCGCGGCGGGAGGCGACCTCGAACCGTCGTCGCTGGCCTGCGTGAAGCCGCTGATGTCGCTGAGCATGCTCGAGCTCCGGCCTCGAGCCCTCGGGCCGCGTGGCTCGAAAGCAAGTGCCGCGGGGGGAGGGTGCCAGGCGGCCATGCTAGGAGGCCGAGACGGCGCAGGTACGGAGGGGTGCATGTCGCTGGAAGAGGTCGCCCAAAGACCCGCTGGATAGTGCGCCGGGGCCATCGGGGTGGGATTCCATGGGTTTGGTCGCTGAAACGACGCATGGCCCGTTTCGGTCACCATGGCAGGGTTCACGTCGAGGCCCATGCCGTTGGCAGGGTTGAGGAAGCCTTGCATGGCTTGGCGCTGCGTCTGAAGACTGCGCAGGTGCTCCCTCCGCCCGTTGTTCGCGGCAATGACCTGCCCGAGCCGCTCAACGTAATTGTGCTCAATCTCGGCCATTTGCTCCAGCCACGTGCTTCTCTCCTGTCTGCGACGTTCCACCTCGTCGAGCCCTCTGGTGTTGGCGTCGGCGATATTGGCGAGCTCGTTTTCGACCTTGGCAATGCGAGTGGCTACCTTGTTACGTCGGGTATTGAGATTTGACTGTTCCACTTCCTTCGCCTTGACCTCGCCTTCCAGCCGCGATTTGTGTTCCCTGAGCTCCTTCTGCGCGGCATCAAAAACCTTCTTCTCGGCAGAGTAGGCTCGTTCCGCCTTCTTCTTGCGCTCCGTGAGCTCGGGTGTGGCGTCGCAGTTCTTGAGCTGTTCGGCGAGACGCTGCGTGTCTCGTTCGGCTTGGGCCTTTTGCGTCTCCTGCTGTCGAATCTTTTGCTTGTACTTTTCGTCACTGTTCCCGGCAGAGGCGAGCTGATTATCGGCGAGCTCGTTTTCCTTCTTCAGCGTGTTGATGCGGATCTTCCATTCCTTGCGCCACATCTTGAGCCGGTTCTTCTCGTCGGCAAGCTTAGCCTCGGCGGCGGCAATCGAGGTTCGGAGCGTGGTGGCGGGCGAGTCGGGACGGAGAGGCTGCTGGCCGTTGGGCAGGCCGGACGAGAGGGCATCGTGGTCACGAAGGGGCTCCTTGACCGTGCGGATGCTGGTCGTGAACAGGACCTGGTCGGTCCGGGCATCCACAAACTCGCAAACGTACTTGGATGCAGGGCGCAAGCCGTAAATATCGCCGGTCCATCTGAGCCCTTGGGAGCCCCCCTCATCCGACTCGTCGACAGGGAATATGCGCGTGGGTTGCCAAAAAGCATTGTTGATCCGAACGTAGAACGGTTTCGAAGTGTCCACACCCGCGGGTCGGGTACCTTGACTGCTGGCCTTGGATAGCTGAGGCGACTCTTCGTCGGGGTCCGGGAAGCGGCTGGTGCTGAAGCAAACCTCGTCGCTACCAATGTACGAAATCCATATTTTTTTGGGCTGCCGGTTGAAGGACGGGGTATTTCCAGAGTTATGGATGTCTCGTTTGTCGGAGCTCCCGCTGCCCCAGCTGGAAAGCTCAATTTCCTTCATGGCCACAATCTTGGTGCTGGCAAGGGCCGCCCAGAGCGGCTGTTGCAGGCGGACTTGGGCGCTCTGTTTCCTCTTCTTCTTCGTCATGGCCACTGGATGAGAAGATGCCGGGGGAGGACCAGCTTCTGTGTCGGGAGCGATCGGGTTGGTGTCGTGGGCCGAATCGCCAGTGGGGGGTGCAGTTGCGGTATTCGATGCGCCCCCGCCGGTCGCCGTAGAAGGCTTCGCCGCCTCCGGGTCACCCGTTGCGGCCGCCGCGTGGAATCTTTCACGCCTGAGGTACCATTCCCGAATATATCTCACGATGCCTTGGGTCAGGATGTGGATGGCGAGGATGCTTTGAATCCAGCCGTGCGTATCTCTCTTATCGTACGGGGCGGACATGGCGGCAGACGCGGCATTCGTGGTCGTGGTTGTCACTGTGGGAAGCGCAGTGTTGAAGACGGCGTGCACGCGCCATGCGTCGGGGAGGTGCCGCCCCAGGCGAGGCCAGTAGCACTTGGAGGCACGGACTAGCTTGTGGAGCAGGACCCAGGTGAAGCAGACGGTGACGCCTCTCGAGGTGCCATGCTTGGTGCTGGTGCCGCCGCCGAGCGTGACTGCAATGACGGGCTTGGCGAACTCGAGCATGGAATCCTGGATGGGCGGCCAGAGAAAGACCCAAATGAGGAAGAAGAAGAAGTCCATGCACATGACGGTCGCGAGCGAAGGCGTGTGCGAGTTGCTGTCGAGAATGTCGCCAAAGTTGATATTCCAGCCGGCTCTGCTGGCGACGGGCGGGACAAAGGTGAGGGAGGCAAAACAGGCATAGACCAGGGTGAGGGATAAGTATGGGATATGCATGAGGATGATGAGGATGGCGAGGGTGTCTTGGATGGGCAGGGACCTGACGACGGTTGCAGCGAGCTCGAGGGGGCCAGAGTCGCGGTGGACGTCGGCGTTCTTCATGGCATTGACGTCGATTTGGCGGTGGCCGCCGTCGACGAGGCCGGAGTTGCCGTTTGCGCCCATGGTGGAGTGGCAGGATTCGGACGAGGCCTCGGAATAGGTGCCGAACGAGTCCCTGCGAGAGGCATCACCCGAGAAACAGTCGAGGCCCGAGGAGTGAGACGAGGCTGTGGCGGGAGCGGCGACGGCGGCATCGTCGGGGCGTCTCTTTGGGTTGAGGGGGGGGATTGCGGCAGACGCGGGCGGCGGCGGCGAGGGCGCTGGGGCGGCGAGGTCGGGCGACCTGGCAGAGCCGTTGAGGTGACCGTGGCTCTTTCTGGCCGAGACGCGTGTGCCAGGGCCTACGAGCCCATTGTCGGGCCTCGAGTCGCGGTGGTTGCCTGCGGCGGCGCCTGGCTGTCGCTTGCCCGAGCCCGACGCACGAGGCATGCGCAAGCCTGTTTGTTCCCACGGTCCTGCAGACCCAGCAGCCTCGAGCAAGGCAGGGCCGGCAGCATGAGCAGCGGAGGGCGTGCAAGCGGCAGGAGGCAGCGCCTAGGCGGGAGGCGGTTCGGTGGTGTTGACGTCGGCGTCGCTCGACGTCAGGGAGCCGGAGCGAGGGAACCGGAGGGCGGTCTTGTTGGATGCAGAGAGACTTGACGAGAGCGGCCGAGGAGGCGCGAATTAGGAGGGCAGCGGCGTCTCTCTGCACAGGTGAGGCTGGTGGTGATGGCGCGTGGCAGTCTTTTCCATGCCACAGACAGCGTCAGGAGACTTTACGCCCGCTGGAGGGAAGGAAGGGTGGAAGTGACGGAAGGGGGATAAACGGGAACCAGGCAGGTACTGAAATTGGCAGGTACCCGTGACCTTGGTGCTGAGAGCTGGGCCGCGGCGGGACCTGGGGCCACGCACCCAGAGCAGCATATTATTGCCTCAATTGTTAGGTACCAAGGGGGCACGACGCAGGTCGGTCGGTACTCGGTCCTGGCAGGTGGGGTTCAGGGTGGGTGCCGGAGGGGTTGTGTGTTTTTTCTTCTTCTTTTTTTGCTCTCTCTCATTGGCGACATCCACATGGCTTGTAATGTTGCTGCTACTCTCTCCACGTCCGGAGGCAACTCCATCGATTGGCCCTGCATCAAGACCAGCGGGTCGTCGATATCCGGTCCAATCCACTTCATGCCTCGTGCCCTTTCCTCGGTAGAAAAACTGCATGTCACGGAACCCAGTGCGGTGGATATGTGTTGGTCCCAGGCCTTGTGGTCAAGCCACGCCTTGGAGCAGCCCAGGACACATGGCCAGGACTGCACCTTCTCAAGGCAGCAGTCTTCTCATCAACATCCATCGTGAGACGTCGAAGACGCGAGAGCAAGAAGCAAGACGAGTAAAGAAAGCCCAATGCGTGGAAAGAGTCCAGGGCTCCACCCGTTGGAATGGGTGGAGAGCCCAGGATATCCCCAGCCGCGGGCGGTGCCTTCATGCTGAGATGTGTCTCACGCGCTACATCTCGCCCCGGCTTTTCCTGCCGGTGACTACGCACACACACTTGGTCTCCATGCCATCTCGTCTGCTAAGCAGCTCGGTTGATCCAGGTAAGCCTGGAAGCACCAATCACCGCTGGCATCGACGCTTCATGGCGTAGGTTAAGCTTTTACTGTCCGATGCAGCCCGTGTGGTCTCTGCCTCTCTAGGCTGGCTTTATACGGCCGGGGACTATCACATCAAAGCACCACTTTGCGAGATCATGGGTGCCAGAATTTGCTCAGATGGAGTCACATATACAACATGTCGTTTGCCATTGACAGACTCCTGTATCAAGTACTGTAACACAGCCTCCAAAACGTAACGCTACCCGGCAGTCGCCCATCCCAGGTCCAATGCTGTCCACCGCTCTTTGATGGCAATCCCGAGCCACACCGACTCGCCGACTCTGTGTTCAAACGGCTCTCTGCATCACAGCCGGCAATGCTTCACAACAAAGGAACTCCTCCCCGAGCCTGGCAGTGCGCCGTGCCGGGGCGGCTCTTTGATCCCACCTGTTCTCGTGGTAAGTGCATCAAGAGGGGCAAGGGGGACGGTCTCGGGGGGGAATAGCTCGTTGTAATTTACATAGTAACGCACAAATAGGCAAGGTGGTGCTGCCATGGCGCCGCCGTTCGTCCCTTGGACATGATTTGTCTGGCTGCGTGATCGGCCGCCGTCTACCCGGGTCATCGATCGGTTGGCCCGCCGGAAACCGCCGGCTTGCCAGCTTCGAGCCTGGGTAGCCGCTAGACTGGCATTTCGAGGAATGAGGTTGGTGGATGGTGCCCTCGTTTCCTCGCATGAGCATGGCCAAAGAAGGCGCAGTTTGGTGTAAACCGAGGCACCGGTTCCATGCTGGCCGAGTGGCCGAGCAGGGTCCTTGCATCACTGTGACACAATTCTCCAGTGCTCGTGGAAACCCCCAGCGGACTCGGGGAAGGGCGTCCATGCCCGCAAGGGGGCGAGCACGAATCCAACGAGCATGGAAGAACCATTCTCCAGCCATGACGCGCATCCCCCTCCGGTACCTGGGCACGTGCCTGGCTGCTATCAGATATCGCCCTGCTGCGCCGAGAGCCTGTTGACTGCCGCCTGTACCCACTCGATGTACAAACTACCTAGGGACCTATAGTTACCTAGGTAGTCTCAACTGCTCAGCGGGGCGCAGCTACGATATCATCGTGCGAAAAGCACCTCCTGCTTTCACGCCCGCGACTCAGCAATGCTCGGCCCAAACCTCGAGCTGAGGCGGCAAGTCATTGCCATTTACAAAGGTCAGAGACTCTCTTCGCCCTCTCAACGACCCTCGGGACTGACACGCGCCAGAGCTGCTTTACCTCGGGCGCGAGTATCCCCTCGGCTTCGCCTACTTTCGCCCGCGGCTTCATAAGGCCTTCATCTCGCGTGCCGCTGAGCGGGACGAGGCCAAGATTCGCGCGGGCATTGCGCAGGCCCAATACGTCAAAAAGGGCATGTAGAGCCAACCAACAGCTCCCCTAGAAACATGATACAGGGCCGCTGACCACGAGCAGAAATCGAGGCCTTGTAAGCTCTTCGCCTTCTGTCTCTGCAGTCCTTGGAAGCAACGCCCCTCAGACCTCATCACGCCATGCCTCCAATCAATTGCCTCTTTCCGCCAAGAGGGGGAGGCACAGCATACAAGCCATGCCTTGCATATGGAATCGAGTCCAGGCTATCTACCCATTCCACCCATCATTACCCAGGCCGCACTGCTCTCACTCTCAGTCTCTCGGCCCCATCACCTGTCCCTTGCATGTTTCCAGAAGATTCTTTCCGGACAGCCGGGCAAAGAAGATGAATGACCGTTGGACACGCCCCAGAGAAAAACACCTTCCGGCCAGTTCCGTTCCAGGCCATGCTTCATCGTGAAAAATGACAAAACTGGCTAACGACTCGAGGGGTATACAGGTACTATCTGAAACGTTATCGCGTATTGAGAAAAAGGTATGATGCCAATGCGTAGTCAGAATATCCAACTCTCCATGCGCATGTAAATAAAGAGAAGCGGGGGGTGGGCACGCTGTTCCTCGGATTGGTAGATGGATGCACGCTCTCGCAGGCTGATGCGCGGGCGTATCGTCGAATAGGACGTAATTCAGTCCGCTGGCGTCGGGAACACTTGTTGTCGTGGCCTCCAGGACGGAGGCTCGTCGTCGTCGCCTCTCGGATCTCATTCTTTCTCTCCCCCGCTCACCTTCTTCGTCGCCCACCAGGCACCAACCTCCAGGCACTCGCCCCAGCTCGCCCCACTGTCGCCCATCAGATCGCCCATCATCTTGCCTAGCCACACATCCCACTCATCCTGGCTCTTGCCGCTGGCCTCGCGCAAGACGGGCTCCAAAGCCTGCACTTGCTCGACCACCGTTAAGAGAGCCGTGGCGCGGAGCGCACTCTGACCAGACGACAGCGCCCGCTGCTCCTGCTTGGGCGACGTGGCCTGCTGATTCTTGGCCTCGGCGCCTGGAGTCCCATCCCCACCGGCGGCGTCATTGGCGCCTTCACGTTCCCATCGTACCTCGCTCAGGGGTATGGCGAGACGACGCGACCTGACATCGACGAGGTCCGACTCCTGAAGTAACGCCGGGCCAATAAGAGTGCAGGGGACGGGGCTTAGGCGGCGAGCCTCGAGAGCCCGCGTGAGCCAGGTGTTGTAATCGATGAGAAAGGAATTGAGAGGAGCGGAGAGCGGAGTGTTTGCGGACAAGACGTAGGCACCGAGGCTTGAAGCAACCTCCAGCTCGTCGGCGTCGCCGGTCGGCATCGTCCCGGGGGCATAAGGACGGAGCATGCGGATGAGATGATCCGATTCCCAAATTTCAAGGGCACCACCAGGTTTCAGGAGACGCAGGTACTCGTTGAAGATTTCTTGGCTCGAAGGCTGGTGGAGACTTACCACGGCCAGGCTCATGTCCTTGGCCATGATGAGGTCAAACTGTTCTTCCTCTGGTAGGGGCCAGGGCGTCACGCGAATGTCGTGGCTATAAAACTTCCAGCTCATGTCCGTGTCGGGGTTCGGGGCATCCGCCGCTGCATCGGTACTCGTGGGGCTCAATGGCGCCACGTCTATGCCGGTAAATGAGATGCCACCGTGGCCACGGCCCTTGTAGTACCTGTGGCACATCATGCTCCAGAACCCCGAACCACAGCCGACCTCGAGCACCCGCCGGGGCGGGTTTTTGGTGAGTGACGGAGAGCACACGGGCGCCCCGAACAGCTGGATCAACAGCAGCGTCCGCAGGGATTGACGGTGAAGCTCCGTCAGGTCAACCGGGAGGGGGTACGGAAGCTCCGGGTTGCTGAGGTAGGTCCGCCCGTTGCGCTGGACAAACGGTCTCGGGGCCAGAGGAGTGTCCCTCGACGAGGACGTGTAAGGGCCAGAGGTCATGGTGGTTCGGGCGGAGAGGGAGGCGGTGCCGCTGGCCGACGAGACCGACTCGGCGCTGGCAGCGTGGGGGTTCATCTGGAGGCAGGGGTGTGAGGACCTGATGGGTTCTGGAGTCCCGGGCGGCGAGGATGGACGATGCTTACATCGGAGGCGCGCACGTCCTGAGCAGCAGGCTGGGGGCGATTCATGGACGAGGGCGACTTGGCACGAGACGCCAGGCTGGAGGAAGCGACCGAATCGGCGACTGGGTTTTGCCCCGCGGCTGCGGCAGTGTCAGGGGCGGCGGCGGCGGGGCGATCCGTCTGCAGGGACGTCTCGCGAGACGAGTGGCTTCCGCTCGAGGTCCTGGAATGGCCAAGGGCACGGCGAGATGCTAAATGATCAGCGTGGGAGGCCGAGTTGGAGCGGTGGGGATGGCTGCCCGGGCGACGCTGGGCCCAGGGTCGTTGGACGGGGATTGGCATGATGACGGCAGAGCTCTTGAAGGCCGCGTTGAAGTCAAACTGACCCGCCATTGTTGGCGGTAGCGGTGGCCCGTGCTGGCCGGCGCAAACGGATTCGAGGTCTCTCTGTCCAGCTTGGGTAGGGGTCCCATAAATAAAAATCGGGTTGCGTGGTCGGGATGCTTCAGGTTGCTGCTCCCTTGTCTGCCCCTGTCGCGCAACCTGACGAAGCGCTGGCCAGAAAGTGATGTGTGCCCTGTGGAGACGCGCTCCGTGCTTGGCGCCGTGTCCCTGCGATGGTGTCGGATTGGAGCGTCGTTTCGGCCTCGGAGATAGGCAGCTCGATTGACGTCCTGGCGAGAGCCCTCAACTCGGCAGCGGGTCAGGGGCCAGCAGCGCAGTGTCAATGACAAGGACAAGGCCTCGCGCGGTTGATGCTGCAGCCACTCAACCACATCCAATCGATGTCGATGGAGACCGTCTTGGCGGGTGATGAATGCTTCACTGAGGTTTGTAAAAGTCGCCGAAGAGCTTGTTCCGTTTGTCCTCGGGCGGCGCAACGTGGCAGGATGCAAAGGGCAGTGAAGGTTGCCTGGACCTTTTGGTGGCAGATTGCCTGGTCAGCGGTGCGCGAGATTCAAGTTCTGCTGGCCCGGCATGTCGCAATGGTTCGCATGTCTAGTCTCTCAGCCCGTCAGACTACACGAGAGTAGAGGATGTACAGTACGCATGAAGCTCATGGAGCTGTCGTGTCCAGTCCAGGGCGCTTCGACGCAGCGAGGGTTGCTTGCTGTAATGCGGCGTCGACGTCTTTGCGGCAAACAGGGTCCTCCAGTCAGGGCTCGGCCTGACGAGCGACTGACGTGATGTACGGCCTGTTGTCCAAGCTGCGCGGTGAATTGCTTCCCCATTATCTTCATGTTGCTGGGCGAAGGTTTGACGTGGTTTGCCTTGCGGGGCACGCGCAGCAGCAAGCATCAATCGTTGGCAACTACCGTGCGGAGATGATGTAGTACACACTGTAGCATCCTTGTTGGCCGTTGGTCGACAAGCCTGGTCCAACGCGACAGGCTACAGTGTGAGGTCGCATGGCCTACCGTGCAATGCCTGTTTTCCTGATTGTCCCTCGACAAACAGACTGTTGGTGAATCGCATCCATTGCCCAGCTCGATCCTAGACTTTGTTTTTCTTCTCTTTTAGTCATGAAAGAGCGACGCCAACCATCATGTTCGCCTGCAAGCAGCCTTGTTGCGGCTACACGCGGTTTGCTCCCATCAAGCGCGCTGCTCTGGGTCCCTCGGTTGGTGATCTGCAGGATCTCTCTACACTGTAGATGCGGCCAGTGACAGCTGTCAGCGCGGGAACAAAGGCAGAGGGCATTGGAGGTGGCTTACCGTTGCATCCAAAAGCTCGACGGACCCCGTTCAGCCGACCCCGTGGCACTGACAGCTGATGGCAGCATGTGCCTCCATGGCAGTTGGGGATCGTGGGGGCAGTGCTGCGGCTCCCTATCCTACGAGCACACGGTCATTTGCCAATGGGCAGCCAACAGCCTGCGTCAGGCACGCCGTGTGCAGAGCCGCGGCAAGCGCCATCACGCGAGCAAGCAGCCTAGGGCTCCTCCAGTTTGCGACTAGCAATTCATTGGCTTGAAATGGACTGCTCGCTGTTGAGAGATAGATAACAAAGGTTGGCACAGCAAGCAAATCCGTGCCACACGCGACCAAAAAACTACATGCTTTGCGATTCTAGTCTTCGGATGGCGTGATTGTCCCGCTAACCATGCGATTGGAAGCTCGTCTTATTCTTATCGTCGTTGCGTGGCACCACCATGTGTATGGTCAGGCCGAGCCGGACTCGATCCTCGACTTTGGTTTCCCATTGACCCTGCGATGCCCGTCTTGCATGCGCCCAAAACATGCTCTGCCGATGCCTGCAGCGTCTCTGTGTGTTGATGCTGAGAGTTCCAACAAATGGCCACTCGCCTAGTTACAAGGGGTCGGGACACTTTGGCACCTGTAATGGCCATAGCGCAGGCAAAAGTCGCGGGCTTCGTCGATGAATCAGCCAACCGTCGGTCGTTTGCCTGAAATAAAGTCGCTTCAAGGGTCGGGGACGAGGGCGCACGTGACGCGCGCGGACCCGCCAATGCACGTGATTTTGCCTGCTTGCTCCAAAGGCAGCCAACTTGTCACCGCAAAGCCAGCGACGGCCGAAGATGATCTCTGGTTTCACCCTCGACATCGGCCACTATTATTCTGCCAAAGTATCAGTTGGTTTTCTTCAGAGTTACCATCACTCCATTGCACTCATTCGTTATTGTACGTTGCGCGCGCCCCCTCCCTCTCCCCGCCGCCAGCTGGCCCAGCTGCCCGCCAGCCTCGCTCGCCCTCTCTCCCATCGCCATCTCGAGCTGACCTCCTCCCCCCTGCAGAGCACGCCAGGCCTGGAGCAAACATTTCACGCCTGCAATCAGCCGTCTCACCTCGTCAACTCCTTCTCGGCTGGCGACGCCAGCGAATCATCTTTTGTTCACGCTCCACACAAAGCCAGCCTCGAAGGTGCACGCGCCGCTTTGTCCCGCCGCTCAATGGGCCTCTGACGACGCCGTCACCCTCGACCGCCCGGGCTTCCTACGATTGCACATGCAGAGGTACTCTCGTCGCTTCCAGACCCATGCGCCAACACGAGCTCTGCCTTCTGTCCCTCCTTTCCACTCTCCCGTAAAGTATTGCACCGACCGACCTACCGAGCTCCCTCGCCATCCATTTCACTGCCCCGCCTCGCCTGCGACGACAGATGGTGACCAGACCGCGCCTCAGTCGTTCGACGCAAACACATTCCACACCGAACCTGCGACGCTGCCGACCAGTCAAGCCCGCAGCTGCCAAGCCTCGTGCCGGCTCTCCTCCCCAACCTCACACCATCAGCCTGGCCTCGCGCTTTGAACCCAACAAGACAACAAAGCTGCAGGCATGTACTCCCAAAATCACCAGCAGGGTCACAATGCGCGACTGAACGGGGCGGGCCGCGGGATGCCAAACTTGCTGTACAACTACCAGCAGCACGCACAACATCAGCACCCCTCCCAGCCCCAGCATCACCAAGGCCTCCAGCATGAGCATGGCATGCCCAACAGCAACGGGCTTGCCCACCACGCATCCTTCACCTCGGGCGTCATGGCCAACTCGTCCGCCTTTAACGCCAACGCCTTGCCTAATGGGCATTCCGGCAACAACGGACGTGGAGGCCAGGGCCCGCCCAACGAAATGTGGCAGGAACAGCTGCGGATGCACAAGGAGTCTGAGCGAGCTCACTCCGCCATGACCGATCAACAACAACCGCACTACTATGCCAGGCTCAAGGCCTCGGAAAACAGAGGAATCGGCGGCCCGCCTCTATCAAGCGCCAAAACTCAGGCCGACGGCGAAAACGACGAGATTGACAGGAGACGCCCCTACAATGTCGAAAAGGAAACGCGGCGGCAGGACTGGCACAACATGGATATGAGCGGCCAAGGTCTCAGGAACCTGGCGCCCGAGCTGTTCAGATACCAATTTCTCAACGAGCTCTACATTGCTTCCAACAAGCTCACGCGCCTCCCCAAGGAGATTGGTGAGCTCCGGCAGCTGCGCCATCTCGATGCCTCGTTCAACCAAATTTCGGAGCTTCCCCCTGAGCTGGGTATGTGCACGTACCTGAAGCAGCTGTTGCTCTTCAACAACAACATCCCGGAGCTGCCGTTCGAACTGGGGTCTCTTCATCTTTTGGACATGCTTGGAATCGAAGGCAATCCCTTGGAGCCTAACCTGAAGCAGGAAATCATGGAAAAGGGCACTAAAAGCTTGATCAATGCGCTGCGAGAGGGGGCTCCTGGTAAGTATCCTCCTCACCAGGTACTCTTACGTGCCTGTGACCGGATGCTGATGGCTCGTGGCAACAAAAGTGCCGCCGCCCCCGACAGCCCGGAAAGAAATCGTCATCCAGGAAGACGTCTCACCCAGCCTGGAAAGAATCAAGGTCTTCTCGTGGAACGTCCTCTGCGACAAGTATGCGACTGCCTCAACTTATGGATACACCCCCACGGGTGCCCTGAACTGGGAATATCGCAAAGACTGCATCCTAGAGGAGCTGCGGCTTCGAGACGCAGACTTCCTGGCGCTGCAGGAAGTCTCGACGGATGCGTTCAAGGAGGACCTGAGCCCCGAGCTGGCGCAGATGGACTACAAGGGCGTGCACTGGCCCAAATCGCGGGCCAAGACCATGTCAGAGAAGGACGCCCAGACGGTGGACGGATGCGCCATGTTCTACAAGCAAAGCAAATTCATCCTGCTTGACAAGCAGCTGATTGAGTTTGCTACCATCGCCATTAACCGGCCAGACATGAAGAACCAGCACGACGTCTTCAACCGCGTCATGCCCAAGGACAACATTGCCGTCATATGCTTCTTTGAATCGCGCCTCACCGGTGCCCGGGTCATCCTCGTCAACGTTCACCTTACCTGGGACTCGGCACTGGCCGACGTCAAGGTCATCCAGACCGGCATTCTCATGGAGCACGTCACCAAGTTGGCAGAAAAGTATGCGAGGTGGCCGGCCGTCAAAGACAAGAAGATGATTGTCATTCCGACGTCGCCGAGCGAGGCCGAGGCACCGGCTCCCCAGGCCGAACCCGGCCCGAGCCAGGAGTATCGCACCAACACGGAAATCCCGCTGCTGGTTTGCGGCGACTTTAACTCGACAGAAGACTCGTCAGTGTATGAACTGATGTCGATGGGCCGCGTGCCGCCGGACCACCTGGAGCTGAGCAGCTACCAATACGGGAGCTTTACCCGCGATGGCATCGAGCACCCCTTTAGCCTCCGGGACGCGTATGCCCACATCAAGGGTACCGCCGACGAACTTCCCTTTACCAACTACACGCCGGGCTTCGCCGACGTCATCGACTACATCTGGTATTCGACCAACTCCCTGGAGGTGGTGGACCTGCTCGGCCCGCCCGACGCCGGGTACCTGAAGCGGATGCCGGCGTTCCCGAACTGGCACTTCCCCGCCGACCATATCCAGATCATGGCCGAGTTCATCATCAAGGGTCGCAAGGATAAGAAGCACGCTTCTGAGCGGGATCAAGCCGAGTTTGGCAGCGGATCCGGGGCCGGACGCGGCTAGCGATTGGATGGAGGAGGATGCGTTTGGCCCTGCCGAATGGATCTTGGGGGCGGGGGACGAGATCCTGCTTTTTGCCTCAATCTGGATGTAGTTTTGGGTTTTGCAAATAGGAGTTTACGGATCTTGCAACGGAAGGCAGGGGGCCGGTCGGATAGGCGAGAGGTTGCGTGTACCTATGGCATGTAAACGGAGGGTTGAGGGGGTCGGCGGGGGGCAGCGCCTCTGTACCTTTGGGGCTTGTAGGAGTTGATGACTGACTTTCAGGAATCTCTGGTTCACGATGGGAATGAGTGGTGTGGCTGAGAGAGAAGCGTAGAGCCCCTCGTGGCCGTGATGTCGATGGCAATGATGCGTGAGAGTATAATCGTCTACTGAGAGGCCGATCGAGCTCATCATGCCAACTTGCAGAGCCGTCCCCAAAGCTACAATGGCCTGCTCTTCATCGCGGAGAGCATGATAAGCCGCCACAGGATTGGCATGACTTGACACCCCGGAGGGCCCTCTCTTCGGAATCTGCCTGATTTGTAGGCTGCGAGCTCCTCCTATCTGAGCTCGGAATACAGCTTCTAGAGCTCCTCGACAGGCAGCACGTCAACCATCATAAGCCACGCGATCGAGAACAGCGAATAGAAACACGTCGGTGGAGGCGACGACTCTAAATTCTCGTTGTATATGTGTACTGCTCTGCTCCTCTATAACCTCGGCACCGGTGGCATCGACTCTATCGAGAAGAGATTTCCATTTGAACCTACACGAAACGCCGACACGCCAAAACCGGAATCACGAAAGCCCCGTCAACTGAGCAGAATGTCATATCCGTCCTTTGTGATCCTCACCTCTTCCGCGCCGAACCCATACTTGCGTCGAATCAGCTCGAAAATGATCAAGCCTGCACTGGTGCTTGGCACCTGGCGGATGGCGTTCCACCAGAAGCCGCGGTACAGCCAGCGGCCCAGGCTCTGTCCCTCGGCGGCGGCCTCGGCGGCGCATCCCCCCCACGTCTCCTGATAGGCGCGGTAGTAGGCGCGCAGCATCCTCCAGCGTCGTCGCGGCTGGTCCGGACTCGCCACGGCCGTGGATCCGCGGTACCGGGCTGCCTTTTGGTCGAGGTCCTCGAGGTGATCCCAGTGCTTGACTTGGAAATGCGTCAGAGGATGGAGGAGGAGCTGCTGGGTGAAGGATGCGCTGATGCCGGCGCAGAGGAGGAACATGGGCTCTATGGCGTAGTGCGGCCGTATGACGATTGTCTCGTCCTCGGCATGGCGGTGGGACGGGTGCTTGATGGCAAGCACGTCGACGATGTCGCGGCCCAGACCACCGTAGTACCAGGTCACAAAGCGGTAGTAGGCCTGGGCCTTGACATACTCAAAGGTGCTGAAGAAGACGGCGCTGCCCAGGCTGTCCTTTGCGAACGACAGGGCCCATCCGGCAAAGATGCCGCGCACTCCAATCTCGCGGAGCTTCTCGGCGCCAAAGGTCCACAGGCTCCGCGGCCTGCCGCTGCCGTCGCTGGGCATAAGGTCGCGGTGGTCGTAGCGCGCCTGGAGGGCATCGAGCGGGGCGGCCACGACGCTCTGGAGACCGCCGGCGAGAAAGCCTGCGGCAAAGGTATGCGCGGGCGACGGCGGCGGATAGGCCCTCTTGCTGGCTTTTGCGCTCTCAGGATGAAGCCGGCCGAGGATCTGGAGGTAGCTCGTGTACAGGACGGCGCCGACGCCGACGTTGGCCACGAGGGGCGGCAGGATCTGGCGAGGGACGACGCCCCATCCCTGATGCTTGATGACCGAGGTCAAGACACCGGGCGTCGTGCTGCGCATCCAGAGCCACGAGTGGCGGAGGATGAGCGACAGGCGCGACGCGGAGCGGTCGTCGGCCACGGCCTGCCACAGACGGCTGGTCTGGGCGTTGTGGACGGTGCGCGCATAGGCCAGGTAGTCGACGCGGGTGCGGAAGAAGGCCTTTGCCGGGGCACGGAAGTAAAAGGCGACGAGCTGGGAGCTCAGAGCCCTCACGCCGGCGGCCGAGGCGGCCGTCGCGGCGTTGTTACGGGGCGCCCGTTCCGGCAGGTCCTCGGGGTTGGCGACGATGACGGTAAGGACGCCGGCGCCGCGCGGGTTGGGGACCGAGGCGGTGGCAAAGTCATTGCGGCCCGGCGGCATGGCTCCGGCGGCGCATGGTGGGAGAGGTTGCTGGTGGTTCGAGTGAAGCTGTCGTGGAGTGGGAGAGGTGCGTCAGGGATCCGATACGCGTACCGGAGCCTATATATAATATATCGCTCTAAAAACATTATCACGTATTTCCGGCTAACTTTTCGAAACTAAGCCTAAAATACGGAAAAGCATACGCCTAGAACCCTCGCGAATAGTATATTACGCCCCCCTAAGTATAGCCTCGCGCAGCTACTAGCGGGTATAAAATATACTACTAAAGTTTATAACTTAGGCTAGGTTTTCCCCTATATAGGTAGAAAACTCTTTCCCGCCTTCGCTAACTAAAGATATATAACCCCCGCTAACGGAACTTAGCCTAGACCTAACCTAGGACCCCGGCCTAGGCCTAAGGCGGGCCCTATCGACCCCCCCCCCCCTCTTTAACCTAGGGGATAAAATAAGTACCCTAGAGGCTAGGGCCCGCTTAAGGGAAACTTTAAGAGGCTAACGCCCTTTAAAGACTTTAAAAGAGAGGCCTAAAGCCTAAGACTAAGACTAAGGCTAAGAATATATTAAGATAAAAGATAATAAAATAAGCTTAGAGCTTACTTAAACTATTAACTTAACTTAGCTTAGTAGGCTTAAAGCTAGCCTCTTTAAGCTTAGTCTAGCCTTACCTTAAGCTAGCTACTTTTAGCTAAACTAGCTTCTTAAGTAAGCTAAGAGGTAAAAGAAAGCTACTCTTAATAGCCTTATTAGCCTTATACCTACCTAACCTATACTTTAATACTTATAATAGTAGTAGCCCTAGTACTAGCCTTAGTACCCCTTTCTTAAAGACCGGGCTTAGGGCTTCTTTTAGTAGGCCTTCTAAGCCCTTAAGGAAGCTTAAAAAATTAAACTTATTTATAAGACCCTTATAAAAGGGCTTAAAAAGGTAGCTATAGGGACCCTAGACCGCTAATAGCCCTTATAATAGCCCCTATAATAGCCTAAGGCTGCTTAGTAGCTTAAGGCTACCTAGGGAAACCTTAAAGCTAGCTTATAAGGTAAAGTTACTATAAGAAAGGTACTTAAAGCCCTAGCTAAGGCCTTAACCTTAGCTAAGACCCTAGCTAAGAAAAACGTAAAGGAGGACTTTTAGCTTATTTTAAAGCTAAAGAAAGGATTACTAACGCTAACTATTAGCCTTATTACCCTTTAAAATAAGCTTAATAAGGCTATATAAAAACTAGCTATATTAGCCCTATTAATTTTAAATAAGAGTAATATAGTTATATAATAAAGGCCCTTTATATAGTAAAGAAGCTTTTAAAGTAGTAGGAAAAGTAATCCTTATACTTAAAAGGGCTACTTATTAAATCGGCCGACCTCCTTACTAACTAAACTAAGCTAGTAGCTTAAAGCGTCCTTAACCTCTTAGAAACCCTTATTATTATAGGACACCTTATAATCGATAATCTAGGTACCTATAATAATATCTACTTCCTTTAAGGAAGTTACTATTAACTCCCTAAGACTCTTTATAGAAGAAGGAACCTAAAAGTTACTAGGTAAACTCTAGGAAATTACTTAGAAATTCTAGAAATAATAACCTAATAAATTATATAGATATTTTATAGAGAATTCCCCTTATAAATATAATATATAGGGAATATACTAAGATTTCTTAAGTAGTAATAGCTTCTTAGCGATTATATTAATATTTCCTTAAAAAGTTACTATAAGATTATAGTAGGGAAATTATAAGGAAATACTTATACTTACTTAAGGAAAGTACTAGGAAATATCGCTAGATATACTATATTAATATTATATAATTATAACGTTAAGATATTACTTAGTTAAAGCCTTAAGTAAGGTCTTATACTCGCTATAGTATATATAGAGGATAGAGAACCTACTAAATCTTAGGTAGGTAAAAAAGAATATATATAGGTATTACTACTCTTACTTTAACTTATAATACTAATAGCTAGCTTATATTTAATATATATAATAATATATAGTAGCTAGTTTATTTAATTACTTATTAAACCTATTCTTAATTTAAGTAAACGGTAAGGTTAAGTACCGGCCTTATATTAAGGGACTAATATATAATAAATAGTAGTAGTTTTAATTCCCTTTAATTTTTATTATCCTAAGATTTATATTTAGTAGAATAAAAGATAAAAGAAATAAGAAAAAGGATAAGTTAACCTTAACCTATAAACCTTAATATCGTCTTAGGAAGAAAGCTCTTACTCGCGTATAAATAGATCCTAGCTTCTTAATCCCTTTATATTGAGAAAATACTTAAGGAACTTTAGATAAAGGTAGAACTTTAATATATTTAAGCCTAAGTACTATAGCGCTTCTATTAGCGGTTAAAAAGATACCTATTTCTAAGAAACTTCCTATTAAGTTCCTATAAAAATAAAAGATAGCTAGATTAACTACCTTAGTAATAAGAATAATACCTAGAGGAATTAAGGGTAGAACTTTTATAATATAACTTACTAGCTTACTTAGCTAATCGTTAAGGCCTATAAAAATAAATTAATAACTTAATATACGTTTTAATAATAAGGTAATACTAGCTATAAGCAATAACGCCTTATATAAATTAATATAGTATAGCTTCCCTTGCCTTACCTTAACTACTTTTATTAAAAGAATAAAGCTTTAAGGGCGTATTAAACTATAATAACTAAGATAAGGAGGAACCTTTTAATAATACTACCCTTAGGAGTACTTTTATAATAATAACCCTAGCTAACTAATATAAGGAGGGCGCTATAAGGACTAGCCCTACGCCCCTTATATTAGCTATAGTAGGGAATATACTATAGCTCCCGCTATAGAAACTAGATAATAAATAGTTTAGACCCCTAAGGCGTAATATATAAGAGCAGCGCTTATAGTAGTCCTCCTTAATATAAATTATCCCTTTTATAACCTTTATATCTAACCCTTAGTATACTATTAACTAGCTAGTAAGCTTAATTATAAAAGACGCTCTTATAAGACTACTAGTAAAAGCTATAGTAAGAAGGACTAAGGAGAATACTACTATAAACCTTTTATAACTACCCTTAATATATATTAAACTAAAGATATATAGAAGTTTAACCTTATAAGCTTATTTAATATAATTCTTACGAAGAGAGATATAAGAAGTATATATAAAATATATAAAGGTAAAATTAAAAGTAAGGGGTCGGATAGGTAGGGCAGAGCTATTTAATTCTTACGGGGGCAGTAATTATAGTAGGGGAGTAATTATTATATTGCCTTAATTCTCCTTCTTTCCTCTATCTAACGCCCCTCTTTATACCTATCTAGCATCTTAATTAATAAAGAAGATCCTACTTAAAGAAGCTACTAATATCCTTTTAACTACCGAGCTTTTTACTAGTTTTTCCCCTCTTTTCTAGCCGTTGCCGGTATATCCGTCTTATTTCTCGCTACCTTTATAGGAAGCTATCGCTACTTCTACTTCCCCTTATACCCCTACCCTCCTTTCTATACCTCTTTTTAGCTCCTTCTTCCTTTTTCTATACTAGGTATTTTTAGCTTCCTTAGTCCCTCTTACTAAGGGATATCTCTAAGAACTATAAAATTAAGCTACGCTTTGCGATATACCCCCTTAGCTATAGCCTGCCCCTTAAGGGCATAGCTAATATAGCTTTAGGCTAGTAAGCGTATAGAGGAGGTTCTTAGCTCTATACTTATCCCTTTACTTAAGGAAAGTAGGGGCCCTTTTAGGTCCCTAGGCTCTTTTAGACCTACTTAAGGAATAGGGGCCTAAAGAGGGGAAAGTCCTATAAGAAAGGGGGCCTTCTTAGAAGGGAGAAACCTAATTAAATAGGGGGCCCTTTAAAGGGAAGACCTCTTCCTTTTCTTTAGCTATAGACGTTACCTTCTTATACGGGCTATTAGCTCCTCTCGTAGACTCTTAAAGCGGGCCTCTAAGGATAGCTTCTTATAAACGTCTTTTAGCTTAATTTACTATAAAAAGATAGCTAGCTTTTACTTTAGTAAGGGCTTTATAAGACCGTTTACTTTTATCGATACCGTTAAAACCTAATAAATAAAAATAAGTCCCTTTTAGACCTCTTAGTATAACTAATACTAATAGATATTAATATACTATAGCTAGGTTAATAGCTCACTATTTTCCTTTATAAGAATTCGTATAGTCTATATATTATCGTATTCTATAGCTAATAGGGACGGAATTTATAGTTATAAAGATATTAGTAGCCGGCTAAGGAAAATCGCTTCTTTTAACGCTTTTAAAAGAGCTAGTAGCTCTGCCTTTATACTTAAAGTAGTAATAGTAGCTTACTTCGAAGCTCTCTAAGCAATAGTTCCTTTAAAAAGGGATATAATATACCCCTATAAGCTCTTTTTATTTAAGGAGTTATCTATAAAGGACGAATCGCTTAAATAAAAGAAGATTTCGGTAGCTAATTTCTTCCTTCCCTACCCTCCTAGGCGTAGACTATATAATCTTATTAAATAGAGATAAAGGATAGCTTAGTCTACTACTTCTTAGTATATAGGGCTAGGATTCTAGTTATACTTAGCTAGCTAGGAGACTATAAAAGAGATATCCGGTCTAGTAGAAATAGCTAAAAAAAGCAGGGAGCCTACCTTCTATTAATATCGGTGTTTTTCTTACTCCCTAGCTTAAAAGGACGGATTAAGTAAAAGCTCTTTATTTAATATAAGTATAGAGGGAAGCTTCTTATCGAGGGAATTAAGGAGGAATTTATAAGCGACCTTATCGATATAAGCGTCCTAGGTAAGCTAGATAGTCTATTAGGATCTATTCTAAAGGATTTATATCCCTAAGAACTACTTTAGCTCCCTTAGCTTAGTTATCTTATACCTTTATTATAGGCCTTTTATAGCCTCCCTTATAGTAGCTTCTTCCTCTTTTAGGTAGGCTTAGATAATATTATCGATATAGAAGAAGACTATAATTTTACCCTTTTATATTATATACGGTTCCTAAGGGA